GAAAAACATGATTTCGTAAGTGGGACTACGCTGCACGTCAAATATAATGGGATCGGCCGGGCATGGCAATATTCTGATTGTGATATTTTGAGCAGTAACGATCTTTCCGATTGCCAACGGCATAATCGTTCGGACAGCCAGACCTGTCAGATATGCAAATAGCGCGCACGTCACAATCAGACGTTTTCCAGTTCTGACTTTGTCGATCATCGAGATGCGATCGCTTGGATTGACGACGTCTCGCCAGTCTTCATCAATCAGAATTAGACAGTTTCGTACTTGATTCTTGTGAAGCAGCACGTAACTGTATTTGATTAGGCCTATTATCGAGTATAGCAAGCAACTCATGACTTTCAGCCTCAACCGAACGTCGGTCAGTATGACGAACATATAAAGAAAAGTCGGGATCATCTCGCACATGATAAAAGCAATACACACAAAAGCCACCGTAATTGTCTCTATCAGTTCCAGATGAAGGAAATTTGTGCGCGCAAATGGCCATATGCCTAACATGCGAAAGAAGAAGCGACTCATCGCGAAAGCGTTTTTTATGTCGCATTCGTAATACTTGTTAGCAATCATCTTGAAAGGTAAATATTTTACAATTTTTTATACGAAGACTATCCACTTTATAATATCACGATGTCATATAGTACGAAAGCACTTCTGTAATACCCGATATTGATGCGATACGTGTCTGATCGTCACTGACCGCAACAGAGTACAGTATCCTTGGTTGGGTACAAACGTAATTCATAATTCACGTGCGCCTGCGTTTCGAGGGGAATGAAAAGCCACGTCAAGCAGATGGCTAATGTATGTATGGAGAAACTTTTCAGGAGATTGCGTGCAGATCTATTTATGATTTTTTCCTCATGGAAAGGAACAAAAAGTTTTTTTCCTGGAAGCTAGGAAAGAGTTGACGTTTCGTAAAGGAAATTTATAATAACAGTATAAGCAGAACGCAGTTGTTGACTTCGTAAGGACTTCGTAAGACTTCGTAGGAAAGTAACCGTACTTATTACGCGACTATTTCTAACAATATTGTTTGTTGGTTATTGTGAATATATCTTTGGTTAAAATGTACAGTGCATTTAGACAATAAGATCGAGTTACGGTGCTTCGTATAGAATAATATTTGATCGCGTACCAAGCTAATGCTTTGGAGTTTTCAGTACCGCGTGCAAGATATAGGCTTCCAAGTGCGATAATGATTTCGAAGCAGAATAGAAAAATATTTATTGCACAGCTCATTTATATCATATAATACTGAAGTGCTGTTTGATACTTTTGTTAGGACAAGAAAAATTATGCAATTAATAATATATTCAATAAAGAATATATTGAAGCTAAGTCTACGTCATATTATGCCTATCACATCTAATTTCTCTATACATGTTTATGTCTTTCAAGCATATTGTAATGTTACCGATGAAATTAGTTTAGCTAGTTACAAAAAACAAACATTGACTGACAATTCATGTGTTCTGGTACATCATACGATATTTCAATCTGCTCGTATTGCGCATATTCGCGTATTGCGCGTATTGCATTCGCACGCAGAAGTTAAAGCAGCAATGTTTTCGTATATACGTGATTGATAGATATGAAATTACATGCTTGGTTGTATTTTAATATCGATTTAATATCAACTAGATGCTTTTGTTTATCTTGCAATAAAATAAAAATACGGATTATATATAGAGAGAGATAAAATAGTAACTGCATAACTTAATTAATGATTAAACTGCTTTGAAATTTTAATATATCAAATATATGTATAGTTAAACCGTACTAAGTAACGTATTTTACACACTTTTTTATGTCAAAGGAATGTATCAAAATCAAAAATACATTTAATACGTTATACTAAATTTTGTTACCATTGTGTGATGAGTTCGTAGTCGTAGCTTCAAGATGAAGACAGACATAAAACAGAAACGTTCAGTCAGTTTCACGACCTAGAAAACAAGCATAAAATATCTCGCAGTTATTTTCTTATTACTTTATCATGATTTTTGAAACACATCATACCGCAATTATTCGGTGTGATATTAAGGAAAAATGTGTATATTTCACGTTCTGATTCCAACGGACATTCAATCGATTATAGTTCAAATCATGTGCTTCGGATATTTTAGGAATTTCAAATATGTTTTATGTATAATATTTTATATTATAATAAAGAGTAGTTTTTTTTTTCAGTTACTTGTGACGTAATTTTATTAAATTTAAGAATTATATAAGTTTAAGCGTGCGTTGGATTAAATAATCATAAACTACATGGAAAATGCAAACAATTCTCCAAGTTATTAAAATAAAAAGTTTTTATGTTTTATAATTATCTAATAAATATTTACTTACCTAATTATAGAAGAAACCATTTACGGTCTTAGATTAAATCTTGGTAGCTTGGATCTTGGTTGATTGATCGTATATCATACAGTCGTGTTTCACTTATTATTATTATTTACTTACTCTTACATCTATTAAATAAATCTTGAAATATATTTATATCTGGATATTTTTCTTATTTTGTATATGTGCGTTCATTAGATGAATAAAAAGTAAATCAGAAATTATACAACAAAGTTTGTAGGAGAGAGTGGACAAAGTGGACACTTGCAATAAATTTAAAAAATTAGCACTTAAAACAAAGTAATTTTAATTTTTATTATTTTATACATTCTAATAGAAGTTCTAAATGCAATTATTACAACTTTATAATAAATACATAAAAATTTATTGCAAGTGTTCACTTTGCCCCCACATGCCCACTTTGCCCCACTCTCCCTTATCTATTATTATAAGTACCTGACGTCTGTATGTATGTATTCTGTCTGACCGCGAACTACTCATTCGTTAGCGGACCGAATTTTTACCAAAAGTATATGAAGTAAAGATAAAATTTTCCGGGGAGTGCCATAAAAAGTATAGTTTTTTGTTATCGATTTTCTGGAAACCGGTTTTTCTAATTTTTCAGGAAATAATTGACCGAATTTCAAAGAATTATATATGAAACGGTTGTGTTTTACTTATTATTATTACTTACTTGATTACAATTTTCAAATAAATCCCGTAATATATTTTAATTTGGATACTTTTATTCCTTATATACATTTATTTTATGAATAAAAAATAAATTAGTAAATTAAAAGTTATACAATGAAGTTTGTATACATGCAAATGTATTCAATTTTTTATTTGGAACGGAGTTATTTAAAGAAGAAAAATATTCTTTCTATATTATTACTTCTGATTTATAAATACAGACTTTTATTCTCCTACTGTATTTTTTCTACATAATTACGATTGGTTTAAACCCTTAAACAACACAATATGATTATTACAAAAAATCAAAGAGATGCAATTATCGATGAGGGGAGTAGGGTGTTTACAAGTTTTATGGTAGCCTACATTTTCCGCAGGAATCTAGAGATTAACTATGCAAAATTTGGTTCAGATCAAAGAGTTTAAGAGTCAACAGGGAATGTGCACACAGACATTCTAGTTTATTTTTACATTACGATTAAATCCAAAAATTTACTCAACCGATCGAAGAAGATTTAAATATGTAAGAGACATCCTAACAATCTAAAATAAATGCATACGTAGTTATTAATTGTTCTTCCTTTCCGTAAGAACTTTTTTGTTACTAGTTTTACTAGTAGATAATTTAAAAAAGTATTTATGTTACTTACACTGCCGAATGTTCTGAGAGATAGATCAATGAAATTTCCTGCTTTAAGTTTTAATGGAGTTATAGAAATGGCTATGAGTAAAATCAATGATCGCGCTTTCGTATCCGGAAGATGATGCCATTCCAAAGTACATGCTGTTAATGCGACTTTGTCTCCCTAATTTTTATTAATTAATTACAAGCGTCAGCAATGCGAACGAAAAAAAAATAACATTCCGCTAATATTCCGCTTTATTACGGTTATTGTGCGTCTCCGACGGTGAATACCGAGCAACATACCTGATCGATGACTTGATCGCCCATGTAGCAATATATAAATACGTTGAAACCGAACATTATTAGCGCAATAAAAAATGCGCATAGTCGAAAAATATTATGATTTTCCCATTCCTGTAAATACAACAACCTTATAAATTTTTTTATAAAACGCAACAACACAACGCGGAGTACTTTGTCACATCACGTTTATCAAAATTTGTATTTTCCTTGAAACTGATCGTTACATATTTCCGCGCACCATGATCACGTAATATCCTACGAGGCATAGCATGAAAGTAGACCCCAGGACTTCTATTAAACTCGGATACTGAATGGTACTCTGCACCAATTGTAAGAATCTAAAATGTATGGCAAGAAAATTATGGAAATCGTGTTTAACAAAAATTATTAGCTGCTAATCCAAAATTTCTTCGATAATTGATGACACGTTACCCATTTTGTGTAGAACCTATCGCGCATTAAGCTCTGACATAGTCTCTAGTGAAGTTAGAATTATATTAAAGAATCAGCGAATGGACCTCATTATTGTACGCAAGAAAGAACTCACTTCCTTGTTTTAATT